AAGAAACACATCTTACATGTAAGGACACAATCAAGCTGAAAATAAAATGAATTAAAAAATATATACCATGTAACCAGTAAACAAAAAATAGCAAGGATGGCCTTACTTATATCAGCTAAAACATGCTTTAAATCAAATTCTATTACAAGACACAAAGGACATTTTATAGTCCACCAAGAAGACATTAAAAACTATAAATACATGGACGTAATGTCAATGTTCTAAAACACATGAAATGCTGACTAATCTGAAAGGAGAAATGGATTATCTCCAACAAAATACCTAATAGTTGAGGGCTTCAACACACCACTTGCTGTTCTAGAGAGAACACGTAAACACAAGAACAGCCGGGGCAGAGAGGATTTAAATAAAACTGTCATTTGACCTAATGGACATATATAGGACATAATCATACATCACCATAGAAGGAAGACATTTTTCTTCATTGCACACTGATAATTTTCCAGAAGGGACTGTATGCTAAACAACAAAACAAGTCTCAACAAACTTTAAAAGACTGAAATTATACAAAGCATCACCTCTGACCATAAGCTCCAAGTGAACAAGAAAAAAAAATACATGAAAACTAAATAACACACTACTAGAGAAAAAAACCTACAGAATCATAGAAGAAATCGAGTGAAATGAAATTCTTAAACTCAAGTAAAAATGAAAAGTGAAATATAAAAACCTTTTGGGCACAGCAAAGAAATGCTTAGAGGGAAATTCACACTAACAGATTTCCATATGAAAAAAGGAAACCTGGTGATATAGTGGGTTAAGTGTTGGGTTGCTAACCACAACATCAGCAGTTCAAGCCCACCAGCCACTCTGTGGGAGAAAGTAGAGGTTTTTGGCTCCCATAGAAATTTATAGCCTCAAAGACCCACAGGGGCAGTTCTACTCTATTGTATAGGGTTGCTATAAATCAGAATCGAATCAATGGCAATGAGGTTTTTTAAAATATATATTTAAAAGAGAAGATTCAAAATCAATTACCATAAATGAATGACTTGAAAAGAGTAAAAGAAAACCAAAGCTACCAGAAGACATGAAATAAAGATCAGAAGAGAAATATATGAAACAGAAAACTAAAAGAAACAATCAACAAAATAAGAAAAAATACTCGCTAGAGTGATAAAAGATAAAATTGATGAATGGATAAAGAAAATTTATACATTTGGTTTATATGCATTTACAGTTCCAAGAAATATTATTTGATAAGTAGAACTGAAGTTCTAATATGTGCTAGGGCATGGATGAACCCTGAAAACATTATGCTCAGTACAATGAATCAGACACAAAAGGTAGATATTATATGATGAAATATGGATTACATTGAATAGGCAAATGCATAGAGACAATAAGTAGATTAATAGGTACCTAGGGCTCCTGGTGGTGATGTCAGGTAAGCTTCGGACTGCTACCTACAAGACTGGAGGTTCAAACCATCAGCCTCTCCGAGTATTTTTAAAACCAAAACACTTATATATGAGACGGTACCCCCCCACCAAATTAATAAAACAAGGACAAAGTTCTGCTGGGCAGAGCTTTCGTACACGCAAGCATCTAGCAACTTGCTCTGAGTTAGTGCATTAAGTGGTGTCACCTGGGAAGGTTCTCTCTGGTCACAGTGAATTTTTTTGTAAGAGCTGTTTCACTCAAACCTTGTTTTTTGTGATGGCCGATTTAAGAAACCAGCGTGCATCTGTGAAATCTTGTTTCCTGCTTGGGAAAAATGATGCAGGAACTGTTGTGATATCGAACACAGATTACAAGGACAGTGCTTTGGGAAAAACTAAAGTATACAAGTGCTTTTCTTGTCTCAAAAAATGTGAAATGTCAATTGATGACAAACCTTGTTCTGGACGTCCACCAATTAACAGACTAAAATGTCAACAAAACTCATGCACTTGTGCTCAAAGATCAACAACAGACCATTGAAGAGATGAAGAAGTTATCTGGACTATCTTGGAGCTCGGTTCAGCAAATTTTAACCAAAGATTTGGGAATGAGCAGGGTCACTGTGAAATTTATGCCTCAGGTTCTGACTGGGAAAAAGAACTTCGAGTGGAAACATGTCGTGCTTCTAAAGAACAGCCCTGAAGCAACCCAGACTTTTCCCCCCAAGGTCATTATCGGTGATAAGACATGGTGCTACTCTTAAGACCCCCGAAAGCAAACATAAATCAAGCCAGTGGAAGATGCCATCTTCACCTTGCCCAAATAAGCTTGTCAAGCAAAATCAAAGATCAAGATGATGCTCATTTGTTTTTTGATGTGAGGGGGATCGTGCATTTGGAGCTCATTCCACCAGGTGAGACTCTTAATCAAGCATTCTATTTAGTGGTTCTGAAAAGATTCTGTAATAGTGTGTGACATGCAAGCCATCTCAGTGTGCCAGTTTCCGGCAAAAATCAGCACGCCTCTCTTGTCCCATGCACCTGACCTCACTCCGTGCGACATCTTTTTGTTTCCATGAATGAAGAAGGGCATGAGAGGGCAGGGATTTGAAGACTTAGAAGAGGTGAAGAAAAAAACAAGGGAGGTGCGTCAGTCATCCAAATAGATGAGTGTGAAAAATGTTTCCAAGAATGGAATGGCAGATTTGACAACTGCCCTAAGTGTAATGGAGAGTCCTTTGAAGGTGATAAGGTTATTTTGTAAAAAAAATTTTTGAATACATAGCTTTGAAAAAAAATTCCAGTTTTTTTGGGTTTCCCCTCGTAGGTTCCCCTGTGTGTTGTAATCAACTAAACAGTGTATTTAGGGCTTGAGGGAAGGAGATGGGGGACTGGGGAGTAACTTCAAGCAGACACAGGTTTTCAAAAGGAGGGATGAAAATGGTCAGGAATGGGATAGTGGTGATGGTTAGACAATTTTGGAAGTCTACCAAAAACCCACTACTGATTACATACTTGAAAAGGGTGAAATTTCTGTCAACTAAATTGTACAGTGCAATGTGAGAGCCCAAACTCAACCAAAACGGCCATGTTTTTCTGGGTGGTATTTGATGGGGTGGCCTTTCTATTTTTTCTGTCACTGTCAATAGAAGACAATATGAGCTTCAAAAGAAATGATCCCAGTACTGTATCAGAAACACTGGGATCTGGGTTCGTCAAACTGCGATACAAAAGCCCCGTGGGTGATTCTGACTCACAGCTGAAGCCTTAGAAATGGGAGGGGAGAAAGGGAGAGGTGCCAGATTGTACAGGGAGGGTGATAAACTAGAACTGTAGAGACTATGGAGCACCTACTGTTCCACACAAAGGGACTCATCTTTGAAGTTGAGAACAAGAACTCATGTGAAGTGACCACTAGAAAGACATTATAAAACAGTAGAGACCTTGGTTGGGGGTGGTAGCTGTAAACCAAAGGAGGAGGATGACTGGACTAAAGTAGGGCCAACGAGAATAAAGAAAGAGGAACTGGTGTCATATTTAAGATACCCAATAGACAAGATGAGGAACCCTGGTAGCGTAGTGGTTACACGTTGGGCTGCTAACTACAAAGTCAGCAGTTCAAAACCACCAGCTGTGCCTTGGGAGAAAGATGTGGCTTTCTACTGCCATAAAGAGTTACAATCTTGGAAACCCACAGTTTTACCCTGTCCTATAGGGTTAGCCATGAGGCAGAACTAACTCCATGGCATTGGGTTTGTTTGTTTTTTTATAACAGACAAGACTTAGTAGTAGATGGATATGGAGGGTGAGGAAGATGGTGATACCACTGAGAAGGCTAGAAGAGCAAAAAGAGTTCCTGACCTGCAATGGAGAGGTCAACTCAACTCACTGCCATCGATTCGATGCCAACTCATAGTGACCCTATAGGACAGGATTTTCTGGACTGTGAAACTTTTAAAGGAGTACAAAGCCCCATCTTTCTCCTGAATGGAGAGGTAGAAGATAAAAATTAATTTGTGTTCAGGAAATGCAATGAGAAGATCTGGGAGCCAACTGGGAAAGACTTTAGAATGATTCCTAGGTTTCCAGTGTAGATGTTTATCCAAGATAAAGAAATAATGCATAAGAAAAGGCAGTGGGGTGAGAAAAAAGTTTATGAGTTCAGTTTGGGATCTGTCAGGTGTGACGTGTCAATCAAATACCCAGGTGAAAATGCAGTCAATAAACACAGTGGCAGACCAAACACACTACAGTTACGTCATTTCTGACGCATACCAACCCTAAATAGGGTTGCCAAAGCTAAGATCTTCATGGGAGCAGACAGCCTCAACTCTCTCCCATGGAGCAGCTGGTGGATTTGAACCACTGACTCTCAGTTAGCAGTCCAAGCTTATCCAGAAGGACCACCAGGCCACCATGCATCAGCATGCAGGTGGTACTAAAAGCCATTTAGAGAGCTCACCCAAGGACAGCATATACCCCCACAAAATGTCTAAGAAGAAATCTCATGCCAGGGCAGTGGGATTGTTAATGTTTTTACTTGTCCACACATTTGAATGTCTTTGTGTAGGTTTCAGTTAGGCATAGGAATTAACTACTACAATGTAAATGTCCACACAAGAGAGCTGTAAAAACAACAGGTATATTGAGAATATATAACAGAGAATATTATATTGAAGTTTAGGTATCCAGAAGAGAGTCTCCTTAAAAGCCTTCTTGGATTGATCGATTGATTGGTCAATCTGTCTGTCTGTCTGTCTCTCTCTCATGTCTGACCACTTCCTGGCAATCACTGGTGCAGCCATACCCAAACAGTTCCCTAAAGAGCAGTTTTGCTGTTTGCCACCTGCTATGTCTCTGCACAGGCTGCTCCATCTCCTGGAGTGTCCTCTCCCTTCTTTCCCAATTAAATCCTATTTTTCCTTTAACATTTTCCTCAAGTATTACCACTCCTCTTTGACCCTGAATCAGAGTTTGATTTCTTATTCTGTTGACCAAGTTCCTAGACAGTAAGTTCTATGATGAGAATGAGAGTAGGATGCATTTATATTCCTAAAGCCAAGCTCAGTACCTAGCACACAGTCTTTTTGTACTCACCATCTTGGCCTGAATGTTAAGCAGTGTTCGTATGCGAAACGGTTTGACTAGAAAAGGCAAAGAAAATGGATACCATACGTTTAGTTCAGAATGAAAAAAATAAACTGGCTACAACTAACCACCCTATAGTTCATTTTTCCGCTTCTTACAACAAGATTACAGACACTCTGTTCAGTTAAGCCATTAAGCAGATGTTCTTAAAAATATTAAAAAGCAATTTCCATAAATCAACGCCTAATAAATAACTAATGCTCAGTTAGCTTAACTGTACAAAGGCTAAGGCAGATGCTAATTCCACAAAGTAAACATAATACAACTAAAATGAAAACACTCACCATTTTCTTTTTTGGTTAGTAAATACAGCAAGTGGCAGACATATGGGCACTGTTAAAATACAAAAAAACCCACCAACATTACAAAGAGAAATGGCAATATAGCTTGAACAGAATAACAACACATTTTCCTCAAATGACAATTCTACACTGATTAAGTAAAATCGCTTCAGGATTTCCCTGAGCAACATTTTTAGAAGTTTCTCTTTTCCATACTACATAAACCCCACTGTCACGGAGCCAGGAGCCCTGAGGGGTAGTGGGTATGTACTGGGCTGAAATTTGCTAGGTCAGTTGTTTGGTATTCCACTGAAAAAAGATGAGGCTTTCTACTCCTGTAAAGGTTTACCCAAGGGAAGAACAGAACCATGGGTGAAGGGAGACAGTGGTCAGTATAAGGAATGAAAACAATAATAATTTATAATTTATCAAGGGGTCTCAAGGGGTGAGGGAAGGGGGGGGAGGAGCTGATACCAAGGTTCAAACAGAAAGTAAATGTCTAGAAAATAATAGGAACATATGTACAAAATACAATTGATGTATGAAATGTTTTAAGAGCTATAAAAGCTTCCAATGAAATGATTTTTTAAAGGCAAAAGGAGAATTAAAGGAAGCATACAAACAAAGGGAAAAAAAAACTACCATCAAGTTAATTCTGACTCTTAGTGACCCTTTAGGGTAGGGTCTAACCACCCCTGTGAGTTTTCCAAGCTGTAAATCTGTATGGGATCAGGAAGCCTCATCTTTCTCCTGAGGAGCTGCTGGTAGTTTTAAACTGCTGACCTTTTGGTTAGCAGCCCAATTCGGACAGTCAGATGTCTCAAAATCCTGAAATTCTGGTTACAGACAGCCCTACCAATCTCCAAGGGGAATTTTCATCCACATTAGTGCTCCCACACAAAATTCGAAGTCTTTGAAGAATATGCTTAAAATTCCAGTGTAGACATACCGTAATTTACTAAACCACTTGGTCTCCAGTTTGGCAAGTTATCACTCACTCAATAAACTAGTTAAGTAAATTACTGACTGATATACTACTACTATAATATCCTACGCAATTTCAAAGTGTCCATTTTTTGAGGTCTTCTTATTCTAGATTCTTTCCCCCTGAAATAAATTCTGATTCACAGGGACTCTATATGGTAGAGGTGGGGAACTTTTTTTCTGCCACAGGCCATTTGAATTTTTATAACATCATTCCCAGGCCACACAGAAGTATCAACTTAAAAATTAGTCTACTTGGGGAGAGGGGCCAGCATGCCTCACCCACATGGAGGCAGGCCGGGAGGGAAGAAGAGAAAGAGAGTTGGACTTGACCCAACGCTGGCACACGATACTCAGAGGATGATGTCCCTGCTGGGAGCTAACGGGACATAGAGGGGACTGGGCAAATGACAACAGCACGTGTCACGCTGTCCCCTTATTGGAGCAGACTGTGACAGAGGACATTTCTGGGATCACATGGTGGGGAAACAGAGTGGTCTGAACCCCCCAAACCGGAATAAATCAAGAAGGGCGCATATCTGGATAAACAATCTGGAGGATAAAACAACCAGGCTGACTGTTCAGGGGGACAAGGGAGAGGGGGAGTGAGGGTGGTGGTTGTGGTGAAGGAAGTGGTGTTAAACTCAGGGACAAGGGAACACAAGTGATCCAAAATCGGCAGCAAGGAGGGTGTAGGAGGCCTGGTAGGGCTTGAGCAAGGAATATGTAATTAAGAGGAAATGCTGAAACCCAAATGAAGGCTGAGTATGATAGTGGGACAAGAGGAAAGCAAAAGGAAATAGAGGGAAGAACTAGGGGGCAAAAGGCATTTATAGAGGTCTAAATACAGACTTGTGCATATGTAAATACATTTATTTATGATGATAAGGAAATAAATCAATGCGCGTACATTTATAGGTTTAGTACTAAGGTAGGAGATGGACATTGGGCATCCACTCAAGTAGTCCCTCAATGCAAGAACACTTTGTTCTATTAAACTGGCATCCCATGATGCTCACCTTCCCGATACGATCACTGAAGACAAATGGGTGCATAAGCAAATGTGATGAAGAAAGTTGATGGTGCCCAGCTATTAAAAAATAGAACACCTGGGGTCTTAAAGGCTTGAAGATAAACAAGCGGCCATCTAGCTGAGAAGCAACCAAGCCCACATGAAAGAAGCACATCAGCCTTTGTGATCACGAGGTGTCAAAGGGATCAGGTTTCAGACATCAAAGAAGAAAAAATTGTGTCATTGTGTGCTCACCTTCCTGATATGATCGCTGAGGACAAATGGGGGCATAAGCAAGTGTGGTGAAGAAAGCTGATGGTGCCTGGCTATCAAAAGATATAGCGTCTGGGATCATTAAGGCTTGAAGGTACACAAGCGGCCATCTAGCACAGAAGCATCAAAGCCCACATACAAGAAGCACAACCCCCATACCAGCTATGTGGACATCTGCCCCCCCCACCCCCCCACCCCGAAGAATTTGCTTGAGAGGACGGACTGGCACTGAAGCTGCAGCTAGGGGAGAGCGGCATGTTTGATCAGAGCAAATGGGAGCAAATGAAGGTGGAGGAAGAGAGAGAGGAGCACATCCTGACCCACCAGGCCTGGAGGACAATATCCCCGCTCTGAACAGCCAATGCACAGAGTGGACAATATGGCTGATCCCTGTATGAGACACGCCGTCCCTTGATGGCCAAGGGTCCTAAGGGGAACAACACTGGAGACCCAGTGTCGGGACCAGCCCAGACTGACCCTGTGACACCGAGGCAAACCACAAAAAGCGTGCGGCAGAGCAACCATGGGAGCAGAGCAGGGAGCCCGAGGGAGTACAAAGGACAGACTCTGGGGCCAGAGTATGGTACCCCATCGGACCTGACTGAAGGACATGCCTAGAGATCAAAAAGCAGACCTTGATCTATTTACAGATTTTTCTTTCTTTAAAATTTTTTTTCTTTTAATTTATTCTTCTATGAGTAATTGGTTTTCTTTTTTGTTGTCATAGCTGTGTTCTCATTCATCGCCTATCTTGCTATGGCTTGATTTTTGGTGCATATTATTATCTCTACAGATCTATCTAGATAAGATAGACTGGATGAATTGTCTAGAGGAGAAAACAACGGGACCA